CTCCTTCCTGCCTCCCTCCCCTCGCCCCTCCCCACTGATGTGCCAGGGACCTCATCGGCTTCCACTGGAAAGAGAGAGGAGACCTGAGCTGTCTGAATGCTGCTGGGTCCCTTCTGGCATGCAGTAGGTGCTCAGCAAATGCTCAGTGGATGGATGTGTCTGCCCGTTGTCTGAGCACCTCGCTTCCGGGTCAGCCACTCGATGGCAGCATGGCGTCTCCCTGCCTTGACTCCACCCCAGCCATCCTGCCTTCCTCAGGCATCTGCTCTCGAATTTTCCTTCAGGAAACCACCTGGGCCCCATTGCCAGTCCCCAGGAGCGCGTGGACGATGTGACCTCACCCCAATACTCCGGGGTCTGCTGTATCCTTAAACCCTCGGCACAAGGGCCATCGCCAGGGCTGGCGTGCAGCAGGTGAAGCCGCAGCCCAGGACTCCGGCATTCCAGAGCACGCACCAGTTCAAGTCCCGACTGTTCCACCTCAGATCCGGCTCCCGGCTAATGCGCCTGGGAAAGCAGCAGAGGATGGCCCGAGGGCTTGGGCCCCTGCACCCATGGAGGGATCTGGGTGGACTTCCAGGCTCCTGGCTTCAGCCTGGCCCAGCCCAGCCGTTGTGAGCCAGCGGATGGAAGACCTCCCCGTCTCTCTCTAACTCTGCCTCCATTGCCATGTGGCTCCCAGCAGCAGAAGCTGTGACTCCCACTGGAGAACGCGTCCCCTTGTCCCGTGGGCACCACGTCGCCTCTCCTGCCTCTCTCGAAACTGCCCATAACCTTTTCAATGACGACACCCCGGCCTCGCGGGAGGTGGCACCTGGCAGAATCTCGAAAACACTGCGCTCGGTCTTCATTGCCCTTGGTCTGGCAGTGACCTCTGATCAAAGGCCATGGGTGCTGGATTTTCCAGAGTTAGAATTCAAAGCTTCCTTTTAAAATAATGTCTAAGTGGGAGCCAGCACTGTGGTGTAACGGGTAAAGCTGCTGCCTGCAGTGCCGGTATCCCCTGTGGGTGCTGGTTCAAGTCCCAGCTGCTCCACTTCCCATCCAGCTCTCTGCTGTGGCCTGGGAAAGCAGTAGAGGGTGGCCCAAGTCCTTGGGCCCCTGCACCTGTGTGGGAGACCTGGAAGAAGCTCCTGGCTCCTGGCTTCAGGTCAGTGCAGTTCTGGCTATTGCAGCCATTTGAGGAGTGAACCAGCGGATAGAAGACTTCTCTCTCTCTCTGTAACTCTATGTCTCAAATAAATAAATAAATAAAATCTTAAAAAAAATAGCATCTAAGCTTCACAAGGTCAGTCCAGTTAAAAACCACAAGTCCTGGGAGAGCTGGGACACAGTGCACTCTCGGGCCCCAGGCCAGGGACACGGAGTCGCCTGGGCCCCACCCACCCAGGGTGGCCTGGAGCGGATGAAACAGGAAGCCCTGGCAGAGTCCACTGTCCCCGGGCTCCCCTCCCACCCCCGGAGCCCCCTGTGCTTCTCCCGGTCTTTCCTGCAGGGGGAGTGAGGCTGGCCGTCGCCTGCCGGCTTCCAAGGGGCACGCCCACGCCAGGATTCCCCCCACTGCGGTGAACACGTGTGGGTTTTCAGGCCACCTGGAAGCCCCTGCAGCCCGGTCTCCCGCACCTGCCACTTCCAAGTGACAACAGGGAACGGAGCCGGACGCAGCCCTGCGGTCGGGGGATGGCCTGAACCCCTTTTCCTGCCGGGCCGGCAGAGCCTGATTGGAGCCAACGGCTGTTCTCCGCCCTGGCACTGGAAGGAAGCCTGATTATCTCAGGCGAGAAGTTCCGAGCCCGGAAAATTGTCAGAACTGCCGCATGGGGGAGCAGAAAATAGCAGATGATAAATTTTTTAGGACCACCCTCCGCCTGCCAGTCGTAGCAGACTGTGAGATAATGTGCTGGGCTTTTTTGGAACATGAATTATTGATCGGGGCCTGTCTAGTGGTTTATAAAAAGCCCATTTCCCCTCCCCCACCCACCTCCGCATCCCTCACCTCCCGGAAGAGGCTCAGCCGCCTGCAGGAGCCGGTGGCACTGGTGCAGGAGGGGCAGGCGCGTGGGCAGCGGCCGGACGCCACGGACACGAGGGGCTGCACGGCCACTTCCCAGCACTCGCGAGAACCTGACACGCAACCAATGACACAGAGGCCACTGGGCAGCCGCCCCAGCAGTATGGAGACTGCCACTCCGGGTGCCAATCCCGACGACCCTGGACAAGAGGCTTGCCCGCCCTGTACCTCGGTTTCCCCTTCTATAAAATGGGCGGGACAAATCTCTGCGCTGAGTTAGCCTCGGTTTCCCTGGCTCCTCCCTCGCAGCCCCGTCTGTGTATTCTGCTGGTTTGATTCGGGCAGCTGACACAACGCCTCTCCCTGTGCCTGCTCTCGCCCCTGGCACGCTCACGTCCCCCTCCTAGGAGCGGGAGCAGCAATCAGCGCAAGGTCACCACAATCAGTGCGAGGTCACAGCCCTCCCACGGGAAGGCAGCCTCGCCCACCTGCTTTGCGCCAGGAATCTCGCTCAAACCCTCCGCAGGCCCGGCCCCGGCAGCCTCGGGCTTCTGCTCTCTCCGCTCGCGGCCCTGCTCCCTGCACCCCAGCTCACCGAGCCGTTTCCCACCCAGCACCTCGGCCTCTCCGGCGCCCTCCACCTGGAGCGCCCCTCGTTCTGCACAGAGCAGACCCTGATGGACACGTGCAGATGCGTGCATGAGCACCCCCGCCCCTCGCCGCTGCAAGGCTCAGCCGGCCATGGCCAGCAGGCCCTCCCCGCCCCACCCCTCCCCGGTGGTCAACTGTGGGTCACTTTAAAGGCGCTGGGCTCCGACTGCTTCCTGGTGGCAAATTCTTTTTTGCACTGACAGAAGCTCCTGGAGAAAATATCCTTGTGATCGTGAATACACACTGCGGGGAGTGACTGGGTTTTACATTAAAAACCTCTCAGTTTTGGAGCCAGCGATGGGCTCAGGCCACAGAGGCTGACCCAGGGGAACTGTACATGCACTGCCATTAGCAGTACTCTGTTGTCCCCCGGAGGGGACGGAGGCTGGGCCCACCCTCAGGCTGGCGGTCCTCACAACTCACAGCCGCCTCCGAGACCTGACCCATCCTCTCTCCTGCTCATGTTTCATCCTCTTCCCCAAGCTCTAGCCACCTCTGCCTTCTTGGTTGCACCCCAGGGCCTTTGCACATGCTGCTCTTAGCGCCTGGAACACTTTCCCCGATACAGTCACGGAACACGGCAGTGCCGATGGTAAAAGGGCAAATCTAACTTGTAACAGGAGGAAAATGCAGGAGGCTTGGGCACTGCCTAGCATGTCAGCCACAAGCCACGAATGGCTGCCGAGCACCCATGAGGTGCCGGGTTCTAATGGAGACGCCTTCTGAGTGCGAATCACCGGCCAGATCGAAAAAGTGATCTGGACAAATATAAAATGGCCGCAAACGATCTTGTCCGTTGACAACATGTTGAGATGATAGACAGCTTGGCCGTATTAGGTTAAACAAGACATTATTAACATTAATCTTACTGGTTTCATTTCACTGTTTAAAAAACCGAATGTAAAACAACATACGTCATTTGCATTTGTGGCTCAGATCACACAGGGGATTGGTCCCAAGGCCCTGCCACAGATACCGAGATCTGTGGACACTTAAGCGTGGTGTATGAGATGGCGTAGGGCTTGGGGGAACCTGTGCGCGCTGCCTGGGGCTCTGTAATCACCTCTAGATGCCCCGTGCGCCTCAGGCGGCGCCAGCGGCACTGGCTGGGGACACGGGAGAGGCGGCGACGGCGCAGCACGGCAGGTGTGGCGCTGCGTTGCGCCTTTCTGCTCCCCAGGGGCGGGACCCACCGAGGGGGCGCCTGCGCATCCTGGATTTCTGCAGCCAGCACTGGCGTGGGTGCAGGAACGGGACCCGCAAAGCAGAGAATTCAGGGTAAGAGAGCGGCTGAGGCCAGGACGGACCCAGACGTGAGCGGGGGAGCAGCAGACGCCGAGCGTGGAGTCCCAGCCTCGGTGGCCTCATTTCCACGGGCTCCACCTCCTGCCACGGCACACACAGCCGGGAAAGCCTCACGCGAGCGGAGGAGGCCACAGCTCCGGCACCTCTGGCCTTGGCCCCGAGGGAGGGGCGAGGCAGAGGGGGACCGGGGCCATGGGGGGGGGACAGGCTGGCTTGGGCCTCGGTGGGAAATGCGCTGCCAAGAACACAGCCGTCTCAGCTTCTCCTCTCCCGTCTCCGACGCTGGGAATCCAGGGACGGCTGTGCCCCGGGCAAAGGCGGGAGGTCCCGTCCTGGGGGCCAGCTGTGAGCCCCCACGTGTGCAGAAGTGAGCTCTCGAGTTTACACAACCACCGCGTACGGGGAGGAGGGCCCAGCGCAGTGATAGCGGC